TAAAATAGGCCGGAAAATTCTGAATTTCCAATTTTAAAGTCTGGAAACTCGTGTAAAAGGGCCCCTTTGCCTCTAAATTACTCAAAAATACAACTTCCACAACCCAAATGGAACAATATTGCATTAAAAAGAATTTTCCCCAATTTCAATTTTGAATCTAGGAGGTTGTTCTGGGAGGCTCAAAATCAATTTGCAAGCCTTAGATATTCTAGAGGCAAAATCAAGCATCTTTTCCTCTGGAAGAACTAACCCAAACTAAAAACATTGGAAATCAATATTTTCCCAATTTGATGTATATTGGAATTGAAGAACTCACTTTCAACAAGTAGGTAGCTACATAAAGTCTTTTAAGATTTCAGTGTTCAAAATTAAAAAGAATAGACCACAAACAATAAAATCTCACCATATGGTCCAGGTTTTATTGAAGTTCTTACTTCCCATGACTTTACATAATTCTGGTGTCTTTTCCAGTTTCTTTCCTCACAAATCTTGCAGATTCAGGATTAAACTCTAAACAGTGGCTGCTCTGTCCTGTAACAAAAATTAAGTTTATAATTGGAGTCTCTTGTTGTTGTGATTTGAATAAGCCCAGCTTTCACACCACCCTAGAGGTATGAGCTGGCGGTGCGTTTTTTTTTAGTGGTATCCCCGATAGGCCTAGTCGACTCGAAATCACACTTGTACAGCCAAAACCGTCAACTATCCAGTAATTCAACCTTCACTCGCTAGCTAGAAAGGCACCACTGTAAACACTTACCATAAATAGTGTATTAGTGCAACAAATGAGGTCCAGGACAACTATGGCATTAGGCTCTCCCGGGGCTTCCCTGCCTTGAAGATTCAGTCGAATCATGAACTATTTTTTGGGAATCGACACATATGTAATTTCACCTAGAAGAGAAAAGTAATCAAAGTTTGGATCCATGGCCATGTCCACCAATGAGAGTCAGTTGTAGCTTTATCCACCATTCTCAGTCATATGTCCCAATTTTCACCATTGTGAGTCATTTGGTCCTTGTCCACCATTCTCAGTCATTTGTACGATATCCAGAAGAAACCCAGTTTGCAAGAGATGCTGTCCAATTTCCAATAAAGTAATGATGACCTAACTGGAAAAGACGTTAAGACAAAATGGACATAGAAAAGAGAAATCTGGAATGTCACATAAATGTATAAGGGCCAAATTATGGACTTACTGGTAAACGTCTGGTTGTTACCTAGCAGGTACCTACTTTCTATGCACTAGAGAATAGGAAGTACCTGCTAGGTAACAACCAGACACTTACCAGTTGGTCCATAATTTGGCCCTTATTAATATGCCTGAAAAAGACAAAAATATATTATGATTATTATTATTAACTACCCTTTCCAAAGTGATCCATAAAGCCTCTCTTGGTCCATTTGTGTCATATCCAAAGCCAATTTCCAACTGTATAAAGACCTCCCTGAAAAGGACAAACTGAATTTAAGGAACTTGGAAACATTTAGGCGTCATGTAGGTGATCATTTGTATCATATCCAGGGCCAAAACCAGCTAGCTTCCTGGTTAAATTTGGATAAGGGATGCCTACAAAAAACAACTTAAAGATAGTGAAAATTCAATGTTTTATGTTAAAAATTACCTATTTATTCAGCTTCGAATATCCAACACCACACAAAATATCGAACGGTGTCCAGAGCATCTTATACCTACCCTGGAATATCCAAACGGTGTCCAGCTGGGCATCCTATCCTAGATTATCCAACGGTGTCCAGGGCATCCTATCCCGAAAAGCATAAACATATCATTTTCTGAAAAGCATGAAAATCAAGACAACGCTGTTTAGGAACAGGGAAGGCATTTTTTTTCTCCATGTATAGGAATGATGAAGTTGTCTCCATCTGAAACACAGAAAAAAAATGTATATTAAGCTGTTAATAATCCGGAAACAACTTATGTCCAAGAAACTGTCTTGATGTTGGAACACACAAATCAAAATTATCCAAGAGAGCATTCAGCTGTTCCGTGTCCCTTTGGGCTTGATCCAATATTGAAATTACATTGTACCAACACCCAACAGCATCCGTAATTTAACCCCTTCTCACCAGTATCAGCTTTGCCGCTGCTACACATACCGTGATAGTATATTAGTGCAGCAAATGAGATCCAGGACAACTATGGCATTAGGCTTCCCCGCGGCGCAGCTGGTACCGGAAAGAAACGCTCAAACCACCAATGTTGGTGAATATTGGTGAAATGCAACTTCAATTTGTTGATTGAGTGAATGAAAAGTTTACAACCAAATGCTTAATAATGTGAATATGGGAAAAATGTAGCTACTATTACCGTGCGTTTTTATTTTTGGGACTTACACTCCTCAATTGAGATTTTCACCAGAAATAATTGAGAGTCTATTTTACTTGATTAGGCTCAGAAGATTATAGACTGTTAGGTGACGTTTAAAGGAGGCTCACCTAAGAAGTAAAAGTGGTACAATTTTTATGGATATCAGTGAAATACACTCTTTCAGATTTTTATTTTTTTCTGGAAAACTACTGAAGGGAGAATTATGAAAATTTCAGGAGAAAAAAAGAAAAGTTAGGAGTACATCATCCTGAAATTTCATTCTTTTCCGGTGAGAAATAACAAACTGGGAAATTAATGGAAATCAACTTGCAAAATCCAAATTAAGCAACAATGTACCCCCATACTTTTCAATTTTTCTCTGGAAAACTACGGAAGAAACCATTATGAATGAAACTTTCAGGAGAAAAAGAGGAAAGTTAGGAGCTCATCATAAAGTCTGTTTTTTTTTAAAGATAAAAGTCGAATGATATTATGTTGGCAGTACAATGTAAAATTGTCAATGCTTCAAATTTTATATGTAGAAAAGGCTTGTGTTGCCAACATAGTTACTAAATTTTTGACTTGGGGAATTATCTTTAAAAAAAAACAGATTTTACTAAAATTTGAAACTTTCCCAGAGAAAAATAATAAAATGGAAAATTATTGAATATGTAAGTACCTGTCAAGTAATACTTGGATTATAGGCACAGACCACTTTTGGACTCTAGTTTGCATACAGGGGGGCTCAGTTGAAAAAAAATAACACAGCAGCCGGAAATTGTCCGTGAATTTGTAGTTTGAAAACTCAAACTTGAGTCATCAATTGAAATATGCTGATAACATGGATAAGATATAAATCATCAAATATTTCAATACATTAATAAAAACCAATACGTTTAATTTATGGTAGACCCACCCTGTACTTAATTACAACCGCCAAATGACAGGTAAAAAAGGTAAACCAAGTGCTTATTTTCAACTTGTTTATACTGACACATAATCCAGTATTTGAAAGTCAGCTCTAATTACAGATAAACATAAAGTTTCAGCTTTTACAAACAAATCTTGAGAAAAAGTGTCCAGATATTCCCAGTTATGCCTTTTTGGAAATAGCTACAACTATGATAGCTATCTATCTCTCTAGCGATCAGCTGAAGACTATTTTTGTGTAATATACCTGTATATGTTTGTATCATTTTGAAAATAGCTGAAAATATTTAGTGGACTACCATTTGCAATTACCTACCCAAAGTGTTAATTGGGTTAATTGTGTTAGGTTAGTTGGGTTGTTGCTGGTGGTAGTGGCTTGAAATTTACAATAATTAAGACTTATTTTGAGACACTTTTAAGACATTGAACCATTACACGAAAACATCTTTGGATGATTTCCAGTGGCAAGTGGCAGTAGCTAGGATTTTTAGCTATGGATTTAAATTGGTTTAAGCAGCCATTCAATTGAAAACTGGGCAAAAATCACTCTAGCATTCTATTTACGACAATACCTACATCTAGCATACAGCATTCTATTCCAACAGAACCTACATATCCACAACCCAACATTCTACCTCACAACAGTCTACATCCAGAATTTTCCTGGATCATTCAGCCCTCACACAACTCATCTATACTTTCTCCATTAACGCACTTTTGGAAAGCTAAGTGAAAAAAAATAATGATGAAAATAGGCGCGAAAGATTTTCTGGAAAATTTCAATAGTTCTTATTTTTAGACACTCTGTAAAATTTACTTATTGCCCATAGTTAGACAATCAAATAAATCACTATTTAAATTTAAAAAAAAAAAACAAAATAAGAAAGTTCTGAATTGTTCCAGACTCAGACATAAGAAAAATTAAAGGTTGTTCATCCAAACTCAATAAATCTCAATTACCAAAAAATAGTTGTTGGTACTACTTACCAAAATCCAGAAGTCAATTGGTACACTATGGACACACGACGCGATAATCGGAATATGGCGGTCGAAAAATCTTAACTTGTGTGAGAAAAATCGATAATTCCCGGACGCGACTGACGGTACATCTATCGGCAATTCGTACTCGACTAAATCGTCGACTAAATCCTCGACTAAATCTAAATCCCTTTATCTTGTCCGACAAAAAAATTCGAATCTCAACCCCAAAAAAGAAAGGTAAACAGATAAGGTAATAAATATGAGTAAGTGTGATAGGCAAAAAAAAACAAACTGCGTAGTAGAGTAGTACCCCGACGGCAAGTGTAAATCCCCTGTTTCTAGCTATACAAGGCCGAATTAGTATCATTTTTTTTTAAATAGTTTATTTTAGCTTTGTTCGAACAGAGCAGAAAACTGTACAAAGTACCATGAAGATTCTTCGCAAAGCCTAGAATCCGAAATTCGTATACAAAGTGGCTTCGAAACCGTTCTTGGGATGGTTTTGGAACAGACCTTGACTATAAATTTCAATTTTTGTCTATTCCAGGCGCTAGGCTCTCTGAAATAATTCCGAAGTTTTGAAATTGTTCAAAATATCGCTGGAAAGTGTTCTAAATGGCTTTAATGAAGTTCTAAAGTGTTCTAACTTGGCTTGAAGAGTTCTGGAGTATTTTAGGAGTTTTTCGGTAACTTCTCAATTGTTCCATAGAATTGTTCTAACAGATTTTTAAGTATATAGCACGTATATAGTTATGCTGTGGTTATTAGTTGTCATTAGAGTTGTCATGTATTTTGACGCGTTTATTCAAAGTCAATGATGCAGTCAAAAAGTCGCCCTCCGACCAAAACTTCCAATGAAAAACCAAAAACCGCCATAAAGATGCAGAATAAAAAGGATTGCTCCTACTTGCTTATGGGCAGTGATCCAACAAGGATTTTGCAAAAAATATCAGCTATCTCGAGTTATGACGCAAACAATAAGGGCAAACTGGAAAGGCTAGTAAAAATAATCAACGAGTACTTTATTATTTCGAGTAAAGGTTTTGTATCCTTTTAATTTTTCTAGGTATTTGAAATGTTCACCAATATCTAATTTAACATCTCATACTTATATCCTTAGATATTTTAAGACGGTATTTTCCGTCATGGTTTAATTCCGCTTTTTTTAATTTTAAATTGTTTCACTTATGTTCATTTTTCTTAACCAATATCACAGTTCGTAAAACACCTTTCTAAAATAATGTCTCTCTTGGGAATATTACTTGAAATAAATACAAAACAGGCATGTGAAGAACAATTGAACAGATTCCTCGAACTTTGTTCAATACCGCCTATAATGACGAAATCTGGCGAAGTATTAGAGTACGATAAAATGTTGAAAGATTATTTTTCCTGGATGGGTAAACGATATAGTTTTTGTTGCTTTATATTATAATAATTTTCATTAAGGTTTCGCGATAATCTGTCTAGAGGAGAAAAAATACCGAAAGAAAATGACCGACGCAATTTACTCATTGCTGACTAAACAATGTCCCGATAAAAGGGAGTATTTGTCACTAACAGTCAGAATAGAAAAAGCTAGTAAGAGTTATTTACCCTATGTACTTGCTGATTTACTAAAAGCCGAAGAAGAAGATATTTATCTGGAAATCTTGCAAATTGTTGCCATATTTATTAAAGAATCAACAAAAACATGTGAGTTGTAGCTGATGAAATATTCAATGTCTCTCATTCTACCAACAACAGGTGAAATATTTCTAATGAAAGATGCGGTTAATACGATTATAACAAGGTTGGAACCAAATTGGCGAAATAGGTTGCCAAACGTTAAACCGAAGATGCCTACGGGACTTGAGGAAGTGCCAATGGTACAAACCATCTTTTTAATATTGAAGACTTTGCTTGAACGGGCCAATCGACAAGTTATGCGTCCACCAATGAAATTTGCTTTTTGGTAAATATAAAAACGTTATTTTGATAAAGTCATATGTTCAGAGATGAAAGGCTAAAATAAATTCCTTATGATTCATTTTCAGGAGTCTACAATGGTCATTGCGCCTTTTTACAATCAAAGAAATCGGCACAATGGAAAGAAACAACGTCCTTTGTTTGCTTTTACTAATTTTGGATATTTATCCTAATGGACTTTCTGGAAATACGTCATTTTCTTATGGTAACTCACAAACCTATTTAAATAGCTCTCAAGAACTCAAAGATACGACTTGTATGTAAGACAGTTGATGAGAAATTTGTTTTCCCACTCATTTTCATTACTACTTTTAAATCAAGATTTACTATTATCAAACGAAGAATACTTCACCTTAATATTATACTCTACCGTCATTTATCATTTCCCAGATATTGCAATGTTAGCAGTATCGAAAGACGTTACCTTCAGTCAAAACTGGATATCTGGAATTGAAATAACTACCAGCCCCGAAGATCATTGTTTCATATCATTGCTTTTAATATGTTTGTTTTATTTACCAAATACGATAGCAGGAGCTAAAGTAATTTCATTTCATATTGCACATAGCAGCTTTAAATATTATTTTTTTTTTTGAGGTAATCGAAGAATGTCGTGTCATAATGGGTCTTTTGAAAATAATCGGAAATAACCAAGCTCTTAAATGGCGTCCACTGCACCTGTGCTTTTTAGTAAAATTAGCTTTGAATATTTTATATAAAATTGTACCGGCATCAACTGAAGAGTTTATCGAAAATGGTGGACCACTACTGTAAGAATCTCAATCAATTTTTTTACAATTTCACATTTGCTGGTAGAATTTTACAGTTACTAAACAGAGCCCAAGAATATCCTGACATGTACAATTACGATATCGTCTTGAGAAGTATCGAATTATTGGCCGAGTTATCGCATAAGATTAAAACTATACGCGATTCGATCGCTTATAATGGAGGTGCTTTTTGCATTTTGCGTAAGTCTAAGACTATCAATTGAATTATATTTTCTGAAGAAATAATTTTTTAGATCTTTGTCAAAATTGGTTATCATCCACAAAAACATTGAATGAAGAATATCAAGTTTTATTGGGTATGGGAATTAGTCTCTTACAAGAAATTTGTAGCATAGTAGAGGTAGGTAACAAAAGATTTCAAAATTATCTGGTATGTACACGATTGTTCAAAATTTTTGCATATAGGCGTTGATTTAGGTACCGTTATTCATTAATTTCAATATTTTGGAAATTGGAAGCTGTGGGATTTTAAACATTTCTGTATATCATTATCGAAATTGTCCAATTTTGATTTGATTTCGCCGAAAAAAAAAATTGGGTGGTATTAATAAACCCGAGTCTGAGCACGGAGTAAATGCTCGGAGTATGAGGGTGTAACATTGTGTAATGATCCGGGAAAAATAGTCCCGATAATTACAATTTCTTTACTGTAAAAATTAAATTTAATCAAACAATCAAAAACTGAATTCCCGATATCTCAAATCAGTATCGATAAATTAAAAATGAAACAAATTAACGCTAACGTATTTCGACACCCAGCCTATGTCAACATCTAAATTAAATTCTTAAAAATAATAAAAACGAGGACAGGGTAATTAAATCGAATGATTTATGGCATTCTTGAACCAATAATGTTTTGACCTCGATAAATCAGGATATTGCGACATAATTATTCGATTTTTTAGACTAAAAATGATAGAAATTTGGGGGGATCGATTTAATATAAATACCGCGGTTTTAGACGAGGAAGGCAGTTGTTAATTGTCAGTTGAGTTGCCAGTTGTTAGTAGTCCAGTCCAGTTTGTGTTAAAGTCTACAGAACCAATGAGTCAGTCTGAGTAAAATTCGCGAAGCTGCCTCGGAAAACGCGTTTAATTTAACTTTGAAAATTTATGGAAAATCGTGAAAGAAATAACATTTGAAATTCGTTCAAAATTATGTGCTGACTCTAAGTAATCAAAAGAATTACATTAGATTAGTTTTGTGTTTTATGGACAAAATGTAAGTACTCTATAGTGACAAGATTTTTTTTGAATATAAATGATGAACATGACTTTGTGTGATTAAACTTTGAATTTTAATGCCTAAAAAATTGAGTGATTTTGGCTAGTAAAACTTTCTGACTTTTATCAATGATTCTGGATGATAAGATGTGAATTGACAATGACTTTTAATGTCTAAAAACTTGAGTAATTTTTACTAGAAAAACTCTTTGACTTTATAATTAACTTTGGAACTTTATTGCATAACTTTAATTGCCTTCAGATATAATGACATTCTAATTTAATTGTGCAAAGAAAATATAAAGGGAATTTATAATGCGCTTAACAATATACAATTTTGAGTAGGAATTATGAATTAAACAGTTGGGTTTATAAGCTAGGCATAGGAATCCGAAAATAGAATTTGTTCTGATTAAATAAATTATTAAATGGAATAGGAAATTTTGAAAAGAAACTTGATATTCATGAAATAGAATTGTCTTAAAATATTTGAAAGTTGTTAAAGGACTCTTATAATAGAATTTGTTTTGATTAAATAAACTATTAAATGGATTAGGAAATTTTGAAAGGAAACTTGATGTTCATGAATTGAATTTTGAATTAAGGTTTTCATTTTTCAATTAGAAATTATTGTAAGGTTTTATAAGAATAAGTTAGTAATACCTATATTGATAAACAAATAGGTAATTATTTTGGGTTTTTCATAAGCAGTCAGAAAAGGACTTAGAAATTTTAAAGAATTTACATAATTAAGTGAAGGGTAGTTTATTAGGAATGAATCGAAAGTGTTGAAATAAGTTAACTTATAAGTTATTAGGAATAGTAGGAATAGGGCGTTTCTTTATTAGTAGGGATATTTCAGTGGTCCGTAATAATAACATTTTGAATGGATGTGAAGTAATTGAATTTAGAAAAATAGATGAGGCTGTCAGAATTGGAAAATATTTTGCTGATTTAAATTTTTGGGTTTTATGTATAATCAAATATAATTTTAGTACACCTCAATAGTTTGTTTCTCTCTTGCAAATAGACCCTTGCACAATTTTATAGGTAGTAGCTCCAAGGAAATAAACACCATCAATATACCGCTCGCCATTTACCATCTCACTAATTACATAGAGTACTTGGGGCGTTTTGCTACAAGGGCAGAATCTGAGCTTTTACTGTTGTTTGGTATAAATAAACACAAGCTGAGCATTTGCTCATTTTCTGGAATTCTTTGCTTTAACTCAAGTATCTTGAGCATATGCTCACACGCACAGTCCAGCGTGAAGTGGCACGGGGGTGTTTTGGATTCAGATAAAAACATATCTCAACCTGCAAAAAATGATGAATTGGGAATTTAATGGTGTAAAATAAGGAATCTCTGTTTCAGTTTTCCAAAACACCTGTCAATGATGACCCTTTCTCTGGTAAGCATGTTGTTGAATGCTTGTTGTTCTGCCATAGCAGGTGCTCTGAACGATGTCATTAGCCAAGGAGCGATGCCAAATCCTAAATCGCCTAGGAGAAGAGCACGAAATTGATTACTACTGATAATTGGTTGGATTTGAGAATTGGTCCAAATACGGGCATCATGAACAGAGTCCGGCCAACAAAATCCACGCTTCTTAACATTTCTGGCAATCTATTGCTCCTATTGCACAAGGGAAATTGTATGACTCTTGCCATGCAGCCTTTTCTCCCTCAAATTCTTCGTCAGTAGAAGGGAAATGAATCCAATAATCAGCTTTTTGTATTATGCTTGGAATACCTTCTGCTATGACATTTGAGACAGTTGGTTGGCGAACTCTTATATTTGTAGCAACGCAAGTCTGAAAACCAGTATCCGCCACATAACTTAGAAAATTTTTCAAACGTTGCAGTGACGTGGGAGCTCTTCCTCTCCTTTCCTCTGAATGACCCAGAAAGTGTTCACACATTCATTCAACATTTTCCTTCTCAAATCGATATAACACTTTCCGGTCTCGATCATCCACGTCTCTATGAACTGAATTTAATTTAGGATTGCGTAAATTATTTATAAATTTGGCCATGGTGTCAATCTCTTCCTAAGTTGAGTTTGCTACTGACTAGACTCAAGTGAAATGGACCAGATGCTCCAGACTTGAAGCGAATACTTTTTTTATTAATATTTACTAGAGCAAATGCTCGTAAACTAGAGTCCGCCGAGTTTGAGCAAAAGTTTAACTTCATTTTATTGACAGCAGTTGCAGCATATACTTCGAATACTTTGAGTCTGCGCTTATACTTCACCTTATTTATACCACTAATTTTATCTGTTCTAGTCTTGCCTAGTTCTTCCCCTAATTGTGGAATATATGAAACGTTACGTCAATCCCGACGAAATAGAACAATTGCAAAATCCCAAATTAATTATAATTTGTGTTAGCTATGTATGGACCAAAATAACTTGCTCGAAAATTAATAGCGAGGAATTTGTTAGTATGGGTGGAGTATTTTTGATGTTGGATATAGCACAAGTACGTATCGTAGGGATTCAAATACCTGATTTTATCTCAGGAACTGTAAGTCCGAATGAGCTGGAATTTTCAGGATTTGTAGACCTCTACTGGTATAAGATTCACTGAAAATTTCAGCTTTCTATCTATGATACAATTGGAGTTATGGGTTTTTAAAGTTTTTAGAAATGCAAATCCAAAGGGGGTTTTCCTTAAAAATTGGTAAAATTTTAAATTTTTCTATGATGAGACTTTAACTTGAACGATCACTTGGGAGTGGGATCCCCCCAACCATATAGTGATTTGAAGCCGGAAGAGCGGTAGAAAAATTGAAAAATCCAAAAATTCAATCCACATTGCTTAACGCGATTTCATTTCTGGAACTATAAATCCAAATAAACTGAAATTTTCAGGATTTGTAGATCTCTACTGGGATGAAACTCACTGTAAATTTCAGTTTTCTATCTATACCCAAACAGCACACAGGCATCCTAAAGACATCCGCAAGATTATCACAAATGACATTCCAGACGTCTGCTTACGTCTTCCAGGCGTCTTGAGGACATCTCAAAGATGTCGCATGTTACAAAGCCCAACGTCTTTCAGACGTCTATGCCTGAAGTGATTCAAAAGAGTTCTAAAAGGTTTCCAGTTCTAAATTGTATTCTATAATTGTTCCAAAATGCTCCTAAAAATTCTGATTTGGGTTTGAACTGTTTCGGATGCTTATTAACGGTCAAAAGATCTACATCAGTAATCTAAATTCTCCATGTTAAAAGCCTTCTGAAAGGCGTTTTGTAACTTCTAATCTGAATCCTAATCTGACCCTTTTCAAAATGTTCCTGGAGTTTCTAGAGTGTTTGAGTGTTTGGAGTGTCCTAAAATGAGTTTCAAACTTTTGAATTGTTCTAAAACGGTTTTGGAAAATGTAAATCAGTTTTTAAATGTTTTGGGTAATTCTAAAATGGTTCTCAAATTTCCAAAATGTTCTGAAGGGTTACAGAATGCTTTTAGAAATTCTGAATTGAATTTTCTGTGTTTTGAACTTTCTAAAAGGCTTATTAAAGTTCTGAAGTGTTCTGTAACATTCTAAATGGTTTCCAGTAACTTCTAAATTGAATGAGAAACGTATTCTGTGGGAAATTTTTGTGAACATCTTAAAGACGTCCCTGAGATGTCCACAAATGACGACATTCAAGACGTCTTGCTTACTTGGTTTAAGACTTTGTGTGCTGCCTGGGAAGGGGGGAGCTATCCGTCAAAAATTGTCAAATTTCAAATTTTTCGATGACAAGATTCCGACTTTAAACGAACACTGATTTATCGTGAGATTTGAATCCGGAATGTTTGAAAAAGATCCGTGGAAAAATTGAAAAATCCAAAAATTCACTTTACATTGCTTAACACCATTTTATCTCTAGAAGTGTAAATCCAAATGAGCTGAATTTTGCAGGATTTGTAGTTCTCTAAACGAGGATAAGATTCACTGGAAATTTCAGCTTTCTGGCTATAACAGAATTGGAGATATTATTTCTTTCTTTATAAGTTTTTGGAAATCCAATTCAAAAGTACTAAACTTTTCTGTGTTGAGATTTTTTCTTTGAATGATCATTTGGGTCCCCCCATTCCATATTGTGTGAATCATTGTGAGATTTGAGTAAGTAACTTTTCATTTATGACATTAGATTAGTTGCCTTCCTGTCAAATTAGTGGTTCTTGGAGCTCTTATTGATCTTTGCGAACAAGTCGAATGTGTGCCGTATTTGATTACATGGAGAAGAAATGGACAAGGAATTGTTCCTTTTTTAATGGAAACATTTCGACAAGAAAATAAGCAACTGGTGGTTAGAACCGATGAAAATGGAATCATGTCAAGTAAAAGAGTTTTATCTTCAATATTTTCGTCTCTTCTTTCTAGTACTTAATTATTTGTTTTTTGAATGAATTTTTACTTCCAGGTCATCTTTATCCTCTAATGGGAGAAGTGAACTACTACGAAACTTATTGTAAGTGCAAAAATCATTTCGGAAACGCAGCCATTGCCGATTTATTTGTAAGCTGTAGACCAAAAGTCTATTGTCTTCTTCAAATCTTGAATTACAAGCAAGCCGAAACTGTGGAAATAGCTAACGAGTTTTATAAGATTTATGGTGAAGAATTATCAATCTTGGACAAGGTAGATTTACGTTATAAGTTATATAAGAATTAAATTGAGAATCTGTTAATCAACAGTAGAAAAATATATCCAAATCTCGATCCAAATAGAGTAGATAATAAGAAATATCTTTCCAGGTTACCTATGTTTTAGCTGAAAACTTTCTATCTGTAAAATTAGGAGAAGTATGGAAGGAAATAGAAGCAGACCTAAAAAGAGAAGATCTAGAGCCAATTCCTAGTGATGCGGCCATTTTGCAAATAATGATCGAGATAACGGATAAGTGGGCACAAGATTTCCATCGTATGCAAAAAGATATTGTCAGGGGTTACATGGACAAGGTGAGAGTTACATAATTACGAATTACATTTCCCAAAATCGTTTCCAGCAACGCAAAAAAGAAGAATCGCTTTATCGTAAACTGAAAGAGGCGCATGTGGCCGAAGCCTGGAACGCCTTGACTGAAATTGAATACATTGCCCGTTGTTCGCAAATATATTTTCGGTTAGGCTCAACCGTGCAACGGCAAAAGCAAATTGATGAGAGCTTGGAATATAATGAAGAAAATGGACCGTTACATAGAACTCTTCAGTCTGGTATAAATGTCACGGTACGAAATCTCACTTTCATAAAAAATTGAAATCTCTTAAGAATTAGTTAATAAGATTGAGGTTCTCTTTTAGTGTTTGCATAACCAAGATGTGACGATTTCATCTAAATTTGACGAAGATTCCAGAGACAGCGATCAGCTTGCTCTTGTATCTCCCATGGAATTTGATTATCCACTGCATGTTTCGGTTCCATTTGATGAACCTTGCGGAGAATATTTATCAGAAGACGAAATACCAAAATTTGAAACCTAATATTTTATGTTTATGTTAACTATATTTTACATAATATGTATTTACAAATAATAAAATGTCACGGATTCCGGATTTACTAAAATTTACTTCACAAACAGTGAGAATTTTTCTTGAATTAAAACTGACTTAAACCTTTTAACTACGCTCTATTTATATAGTCGCAATTGAACTCCGGATTTAGCTAGGAAAACATCGGAGCAAATATGATAGAATTGTCCTCGTAGTACGATTTCCATCAATATCTCGAAAGAAGCGGTGGCGTTACAGAGTCCAAAAGGCATTACCTTGAATTGGTAAAGGCCGCTTCTAGTCTTCGCTGTCTTCTCTTTGTCTTTTTCGTCAATGCCCACTTGCCAGTATCCGCTTTTTGGGGCCAAAGTAGAAAATCAATTTGAATCTGCCAATGTTGTACCTAGGAGTATCGTCGACTCTGGGTAATGGGTAGTTGTCTTGTCTTTATTAGATCCATCTTTCATGTCTCAGCAGTGCAGGGCTGCCGCTAGGGTGTTGGCCGCCTGTGGGCCCAGACAATTTTCGCCGCCCCATTCCCTCTAAAGTACAAAATTGAGGGCGTTGGAATGGAATACAGTTTTTTGACTTTAAGATACTTAGTGTATGAATCGAGTCAAAGATTCGTGGTAAAGATGAAGGAAGGACCACACAAAAGGGAGACGCGTATCTGTAGTGACGTCACAAGGGTATCGGCGCTTGACAATAATAGGCAATCCTCTATGTGTCAATGGTTTGTCGGCTGTCATTGTCATTGGCTGTCTTCCTCTTTCTCTCTACGTTACATTTTTCTTCTCTCTGCAATGGAGTAACGAAATTTGCCAAAACGTGACGCGTCTTTAATATCACTTTCATATCACCTTCATATCAGACCGCCCGCCGCCTTTCTCCCGAACTGGCGCCTTACACCGTATCCCGAGTACGGCTTCCAGTAAAAGAAACCCAGGATACGATCCTTCTACAAAAATAAGAGCTCCAGGGCGCACAAATTAACGAAACACTCACATCTGCTTGTAATCAACTCGCTTGGACTGAAATTGTCAACATAACTGATGGAGAATTTCAGATAGCTCTCACAAATCCAGTCATCAGCTCGCAGTTGGACCTTGATCAGTTTCATATCTACACCACGGATCTAATTTCTCAAAAATCTTCGTCAGCGCATGGCAAGATTCCTGAAATCAGAACTAATCACCTAAATTCAGAGGAAGAAAAGGCAATACAAAATTTATGTAGGAAGTATGCAGACATTTTCCAGTATCCAGACATGTCCCTGACCTTAACAAACTAGATCAAACACCATATTAAAATTAAAGATGAGATGCCAGTGTACAGCAAGTCATATAGATATCCACATATCCATAAAGAGGAAGTGAAAAAAACAGATATTATCTTCCATGTTGGATCAAGGAATTATCAGACCAAGCCAGTCACCTTGGTCTTCCCCGATATGGATAGTTCCAAAAAAACCAGACGCCTCCGGGAAAAAAAAATGGCGGATAGTAGTGGACTATAGGAAACTAAACGAGAAAACTATCGACGATAAATACCCAATTCCAAACATAACAGACATCTTGGACAACTTGGTAGATGCCAGTACTTCACGACAAGTGGTTTTCACGAAATCAAAATGGCTAAAGAAGATATATGCAAAAATGCTTTCATTGTCGAAAATGGCCATTACGAGTATGTCCGGATGTCGTTTGGCCTAAAAAATTCTCCAGCTATGTTCCAGAGGGTAGTGGATAACGTTTTGAAAGGCCTCCAAGGAGAAAATTGCTTAGTGTAGGTACCTGGACGATATCATTGTGTTCATCAGCACACCACTTCAAGAGCATCTCGTTCATCTTTCAAAAATCTTTCAACGTCTCAGAGAAACTGTATTCAAAATTTGAATGGAGAAATGCGAGTTCCTAAAAAAGGAAGTTGCCTTTCTTGGACATATTGTTACACCAGAAGGAATAAGACCAAATCCGGCTAAAATTTAAGCCATACTTGACTATCCAATACCGCGAACCACGAAGGAACTCCGAAGGTTTCTAGGCCTCCTTGGATCTTACAGGAAGTTTATCAAGGATCTCGCTAAAATTACTAAACCTCTAACTTCCTGCCGCTAAAATAGAACTGTCACCAGAATTTTTGAACTGCAGCAGAACTTGCAAAAATTTACTGACAAATGAACCTTTTCCGTCATATCCAGACTTTCGCAAGTCTTTTACTCTAACTAACGATGCTCGCAACTATGCAATTGGAGCTATACTATCCCAAGGGCCAATCAGCAGCGATAAGCTCATAGCATATGCCTCCAGAACGAAACCAAGTTGAGATATCCACCATTGAAAAGGAAATGTTAGCCATAACCAAATACTTCCGACCCTACTTGTTTGGGAGAAAGTTCAAGATACTATTATATCTACGCAGAAGATATAGGTGCCTAAGTACTATGATATAATTAGCATTGATGGATACTTCTCAAACCACACCATGGTCTACATTCTGCATTTGCCAATTCTGTCTCCAGAAATTTTCACATATTTCCATCTTTTTTCAATAACCACTACGAATCATACCATCATAATTCCTCCTGCTTTCTATTTGGTCCTGAGCGAAAATATAATCCAATAGACGGAAGTTCCATGCCGTAAAATTGATTCCGAATACCTATGTCACGAAGGTTTCTTACAAGATAACAACCAGCAGGATTGTATAAGCCAAATACTTCAACTAAGCAACAGCGAAGCAACTTGCCGGCAAATACCTGTGTTAATCAACACCACGTTAATACAAGATATATCCGATTTTCATTATATAGCCATATTCCCTAGGCCTAGGAAAGTATCAACTTGTTCCACAACAACCAATAATAATGATTCTCAAAGGAGTATTCTTAATCAGTTTACCACCATCAGGACCAAATTCAGAACTCCCAGTAAAAACTTCTTGAATGAGAAAATTGTAATTCAAGAAGAACCATTTAACACAACACTACACTTCCCAGAATACACACAAGAAACGATGATCGGCATCCCCGAGTAAAGCCTCTGAACTGAAACTCTCCCGGGTACCCCTAGATGAACACAAATTTATAAGGGCAGAAGAACACCTCGAACCAACCGAAGCCGAAACGCAATCAACAAGTAACCCTCATATATTTTTATTTTAGGCATAATTCTGGTAGGTAATGGTTGTTTTTTATAAACTCAAACAAAGATGAAATCTGGGAAGGAAAAGGATTTCAAACAAAAACTTTAGGAGGACAGTGAGGACACCAATGGAAGGAACAGGTCCCGAAGAAGAGGAAAAACAGTTTTGTTCGTCTCTTACAAAACTTCCCCCGGGAAGGGAGAAATTAAGGATCAATAACCCATCATTGGACCCATGGCTCAGCAGCGACAACACGATATAGAAACCTAATTTCGATTAAATCCGATAGCTAAGCTAAGCAATAATTTATACCGGGTGGGGCACGAAAAACTTTCCACCCAGGTTTTCTCAGGTGTTAGGTGTTTATTCAAAAATCGTTCAGACACGTCAATTTTTGTTTTTTGGGGGACATATTTTATTGGTATTTTCACCCTTTACCTGTGAACCCCTAAGTGGGGGTGACAGGTACCCACAAAATTTTAAATGAAAAGGGGGGTCGAGTGAAACGTCATTTGATAGCTATTTTCATTAAGATTATATCCCCGAAGCTTCAAGCTGCTACTATTTACCCTGTCCAAATGGCGGCTTATCAATTTTAGGAAAAATCAATGGAAAAATGCTGTGTGGTTTTTACCTGTTACCTACGCACAGGTAAAAACTATACAGTTTAGATTATCGAAAAAAAGCATTTATCCTAACATGCCGCCATTTCGGCCGGGTTAATATTAGCAACTTAAAACCCTTAAAACTTCGGGGATACAATCTCAATGAAAATAGCTACCAAATGACATATCCCTCGACCACTCTTTCCATTTGAAATTTTGAGGGTACCTGTTACCCTCACTTAGGGTGGGTATTATAAAACTGCCTTGACAGTTAACTTGAAGTTAACTTTTTGAATTACATGTATTTTCAGAAGTTAACTTTAAGTTAACTCTCAAAGTAGTTTTATAATACCCGCCCTTAGGGGTTCATAGGTAAAGGGTGAAAATACCAATAAAATGTGTCTCCCAAAAAACAAAAATTGACGTGTCTGAGCGATTTTTGATTAAACACCTAACACCTGAGAAAACCTGGGTGGAAATAATTAAAGGGCTTTTTAAAAACACCATTTTCCAGAGAAAACCCTTAATTCACTTGATGATGTTCGTCTTTTTTACCCTCAAAAATATCATTGTTCTCACAAAGGCCAAACGGAAAAACTCCACCGTTCATTGAAAGGGTTTCCCATAGTATGCCAGAGGTACCCTTTTGTCACAGAGAAATACGAAAATCCCTTAAAAAGCTAGATACAAACAAAGCAATGGGTCCGGATGGCATTCCCGCAATAGTACTCAAAAATTGCGCCAACGAACTCACCCCAACTTTCGCAAAATTATTCAATTTGTCTTACAGGCAAGGAGTATATCCATCATCATGGAAGTCTGCCGCAGTACAACCCATTCCAAAGAAAGGAAAAAAGACAGATCCGTTAAACTATAGACCAATTGCTCTACTTCCGGTGATATCAAAAGTAATGGAAAGAGTTGTGAACAATCACCTAACCAAGTACTTGGAAAAGTACAAAATTATCAACGATAAGCAATACGGATTTCGAAAATATAGGTCAACTGGCGATTTACTTACATACGTCACTCACTTATGGCAAAAAGCGATTGAGTTGCGGGGTGAAACAAGAACAATTGCAATAGATATATCTAAAGCATTCGACAAAGTTTGGCATGAAAATCTGCTCAACAAGCTCAAAGCAATGGGATTATCGCGGAAACTTTGCATTTGGTTTGAAAGTTACCTAAAGGACAGATCCATTTATGTTGCACTGGATGGCCAGAACTCCAACTCTTACCAAATAAATGCTGGTGTGCCACAGGGAGCAATCCTTTCGCCAACTCTTTTTCTGATTTACATAAATGACCTCATAGATAAAACAGTAA